ATATTGCTGCATTTGCTGCTTAAAGTGCCTTAGATTTAGTGTTACTTATTTATCTACTTTATATTTCATTTGTATTTTGTGGCATTCATGTGGACGGCAAAGTAAGAATTTCATTGTACAGGGAAACACGTTTCCTAACTGTGCATATGACAAATAAACACTTTGACCTTGACCTTTGACTCACTGCTGATAAACAGATGTACAGTCACTTTTAAAGGTCAAGGTGAGCTTTTAATTTGAAGGAATGCTCAGCTCAGTAACTGCTGTGTCTCTTCTTCAATAAATCATGTTTTCTGTTCTGGTTCTTTATCAGCTCCGACAAAGGTAATTCTACTGTGGAAACATCCTCAGTAATAAAAATGAGTCTTTAACCCTTCCCCCCAGTGGTCCTGGTACAAGGACCAGGCTGGATGTGCTATTAAAACCTGACCTGAAGGTAGCCGTGCACAGCCCATGTGGCTGTCCAATGCTTACTAAGTAGCTACAATGGATAGTACTGCATTGCTGTAGTTCATTTATACTGCATCAGGTGTAGTAAAGCTGCAGTCCAGAACAAGCCTCTGTATCTGTCAAAAAAAAAGTTTTCACATTTACATGGAAATCGTCAAGTCTGTATGAAATCTCTACTGCAGATTTATACGCATACATTCAGTAAATCTATACTAGAATATACTCTGCAAAAAAAAGACATTTCAAACATAATGTAATAATAATGTATCTGACCCGATCTTCAAAAATAAAAGAATAAATATTTCTTCAATAATTCAATGTTTTTTCTGTATTTTCTACAACTTTATTTTATAAAAGTCTTTTTAAATGACAGAAAAACCAATTTGGGTTCTGTTGTTTTTACCCAGACCTTGTCTTACGAGTCCTGTGCAGGTGCTATGAGCCCACCCTGTCCTCCCTGTTGAGGTGTTATGGACCCACCCTGCCGTATCTGTGCAGGTGTTATAAACAGTCTTACCTTGACAGTTTGGTCCAAGGAGGCCGTGGCGACTCTGGCCTGAACTCCCATCAGGCCACAGTGCAGGTCTGTGATTGGTAGAGTGTGACGGGACAGGATGTGACGAGGGTCAGGGTTGTGGCTTAAATCCAACTGGATCACACTGAAACACACACACACAGACTTTCTCTAGTTCTGTTTCCTGTCACAGTGAACTGATTCTCTGTAGATTGCTGAGACAAAACAAGACACTGAAGGATCTTGATGAACGAATTATTCAAGTTGAAAACCTTTACTAATGTACAAAATGACATAACAGTCAATGGAAACCAAACTCATCAACCCATGGAGGCTGTTTTCAAAGTCACACTGAAAATCACAATGTATAAACATGAAACCACAGGCTCATCCCAGTAAATTTCATCACAGCAACTCATAATGTGACTCAGAAGTGTGTGCAGCCTCAGGGAGGCCAATGCACCAGTGTAAGGTCTTGCAGTCGCTCTGAGAATTTCATCTGGTACCTCCTAGCAGTCAGGGTACAGTTGGCTATGACACTGAGGCCTGTGTAGCCTCCCCAGACCATTACCGATCGTGTAGCCTCCCCAGACCGGTCATGCTCGATGATGTTACAGGCAGCATAATGTTCACCACGGTGTCACCAGACTGTTTCCTGTCTGTCACATGTGCTCAGTGTGAACCTGCTCTCATCTGTAAAGAGAACAGTGGTGGACCTGCCAATTCTGGTGTTCTCTGGCAAATGACAGTCGAGCTGCATGGTGCTGGGCTGTGAGCACAGGTCGTACTAGACGACATTGGAGTCTGTTTCTGACAGTGTGATCAGAAACATACCCAATAGTAGCTGCTAGAGGTCACTGTGTAGGGCTCTCCCAGTGCTCCTCCTCACACAAAGGAGCAGATATCGGTCCTGCTGCTGAGTCGTTGCCCTTCTGGTATCTCCTCCGTGCTCTTGAGACTGTGCTGGGAGACACAGCAAACCGTCCTGTGACTACACGTATGGATGTGCCATTCTGGAGTAACTACACTTACTGTGCAACCTGACTGGGCTGCAGGCACAGCCTCATACTACCGTAGTGACACTAGCAAAACACAAAACCTGAGAAGAATCAGTCAGGAAGGATGAGGAGAGAGCATTTATCTGTGGACACCACATGTAAGTCCATTCCCTTTTAGGGGGTTGCCTTGCTTTTCTTCTCCACTGCACCGGCTGAAACTGATTCACAACCATTTCTGCTTCCTAAATAAATAAGATTGATGCCCCTTCATTTTAAATGGCTTGGTGTTATACTGTGATGGAGTGTCTTATCCTGAGCTCTGTATAAAGCTAAGGTGCAATCAAACAGCTGAAACATGTTCTATTTCTGAGCTGCATTCACAGTGAAAACATGTTTAACACTGAACAGGCATGTCCACCAAGACAGCCTAACTACGTCCAGAGCCTTCAGCAGCTCAGGGCGAATTTCATCCACTCCTGGTGCCTTGCCACTGAGGAGCTTTTTGACTACCTCAGAGACCTCTGCCAGAGATAAGGGTGAGGCCTCCCCTGAGTCCTCCAACCCTGGCTCAGGAGTTCCTCAAAGTGCTCCTTCCACTGCGCGACGATATTCCCAGTGTGAGTCAGCAGTTCTCCTCCCCTGCCAAACACAATCTGGACCAAGCCCTGGTTTCCCTTTCTGAGCCATCAGACAGTTTGCCAGACCTTCCTTGAGGTCAGCTGAAAGTCCTCCTCCAAAGTCTCCCCAAACTCCTCCCACACCCAAGTTTTTGCATCCACAACCATCCAAGCTGCAGTCCTTTGGCCTGCCGGTACCTATCAGCTACTTTTAAAGACCCCTGGGCCAACCAAGCCTGGAAGGCCTCCTCCTTTAGCCTGACGGCTTCCTTCACCGCTAGTGTCCACCAGCAGGTTCTCGGGCTGCTGCCACGACAGGCACCAGTGACCTTCTAGCCACACCTCAGAGTAGCTGCTTCTACAATGAAAGAGCTGACATGGCCCATTCGGATTCCATGTTCTCAGCCTCCCATTTATAAATATAGCTATGAGAATCTGGAACCAAAGACATTTTAGAGGGTTGTTCTTTAAAACTTCTCCAGTGATGAGTGGATGAGTAAATGTTGGTGTGAGCAGCGCAGAAAGAAGTATTCAGATAGTTTACTTAAGCAGTAATAACACAATTTAAAGATACTCTATTACAAGTAAAGGTTTTGCACTCACAATGTTACTTATGTAAAAATACACAAGTATTTGTATGAAAAATCGACCTGAAGTACCAACAGTACTAGTACTCGTCCTGCAGAACGGCCTGTGTCCCAGTAATGTCTCTGATACTACTTTATCATAGTGACTGATGCGTTACTCTGTCCATCACTTTAATGCTGCAGCTGGTAAAGGTGGAGCTGATGGTAACTACCTTATATAGTTATACTGCTGGAATGCTGGTGGAATTCCCACCGGGATTAATAGAGTCTGATGGTTCTATTGGGTTTAGCTTGATTCATCTGATTCTGGAAATGAACTGAAGTTATCAGGTACATGTAGTACAGTAAAAAGTACACAGTTTGCCCTTAACTTGCAGTCAAGTCCAAGTATGAAGAAGCACAAAATAAAAATATTCAAGTACAGATACCTCAAAAATGATAACCTCTGGGCGTGAGGGTAAAGACTCAGTGTCAAAGGACAGAGTCCAAGTGGAATGATGAAGACTCAGGTCTTATGTGGACTCGTGGAAATAAAATTACTCTGACTGAGATCAGGGTTTTTCACCTGGTTACTCTGCGTGCCACAGCTCTCCCCAATGAACACGCCGTTTCTGTGTTTACTCGTGTGTCCAGAGTTTATCTGCAGGAGTGGGTTGACTGGAAACCACTGACCAAAACAACAACAAATCTGACCCACAGAGAGAAACTAAACACTGCTACAACTGAAGGACACTTTCACTTTACACAAATGTAAGCGCAACAACGCCCTTAGCTTCTGTCTCATGTTCCTCCACATCTGGATCTCATTAGCAGGTTTTTATTAACATGTTCTCTTTAACAAGTTTGTAACATGTTCATCTAACCTGCCTGGAAGCGTGCGTTATTTCACATGGTTTGTTTTATAAAGTGGATGCTGCTGAGGCCCAGGAGCAGTCACAGTTTAATCACCATGACAGATGTTTTAATCAATGAAATGGCAGCAACAGAGAACAGTTTGTGATTCTCTATAAATCAGGTGCATCCAGGTGTGTGTTACCTGCACAGACTCCACACCAGAGCCAGGTTGTCTTTTCCTCCAGAAATAAAATGGCTGCTGTCATCGGTGAACTTCAGGCAGGTAACATCCTGATAGTGACGACTGAGGACAGACAGTAGTTTACCTGTGGACACCTAGACCACTCACAGAGAGACAGTTTAAATTAGTACTGTCCTAAAAGTCTGTGCAGGACAAAGTTTATATAAAAGCACAATGATTACCACCTGACTGACACTGGTTACTATGTAAAACCAGAAGCTATTTGGATCAAACCTATATGGAAAATAAATTTGTAAAAGGACAAATGAAATAAAAGCATAAGAACACAAAATGATAAAACAGAATGATGATGAAGCAATTAAAGATAAATTAAACCACACAAGGAGAAGCAGAGCTTGACCTAACACACCTCCCACAGGTAAATGGCCTCGGCGACTCCAGCAGCGAGGAAGAATCCATTAGGTGAAGCACTCAGACAGGTGACTACACCTGGACACACAATCTTCTGCTGCAGCTGATCCTGGATGACAACACACAGGAACATCAAGCATGCTTCACACATACACTTAACTGCCTCAATAAAATGCAACATGTTTAACTTAACATTTAAATGTGGTGCAGAGAGAAAGCAAGCCTTCATTCAGAATTCTGTCAGTTTTATACTAGGTGCATTCCAAAACCCGACCGGCACCGGGTTTCCTTTCCATTTATATTCAGCACATGCCGCTTGTGCCAACCTGAAGCCATGGCAAATTGTGGCACATTAATGAAACTATACATGCAGCCCAAGAGAACAGTGAACAGCAGCCTGTTTGTTGCCAGCACATGCGGGCAGCATCTCCTCCCCAGTAGCCCTCAACTTCTGATTGTGAATCTGGAACTCTGCAGATAGGACGTATGAATCGTTCTGAGTTTGACAATTCATCCTTTGATTTAGATTGTGTAAAATCATGATTGAATGAAATTTAAACCCATAAAATCACACTTGATATTAAGATGGTGTCCTGGTATCCATGCACACAGGAACATATCGTAACGTTGGCTGGGCTGAAGGAGGAGTTGTGGACACAGACTGCCTTTTCTGTGCCCAAGGGAGCCACTCTTTTTATTAAACACTTTGTTTCAATGTTCACTGGCGTTTGAAAGCCACTGCGAGTCTAAAATGACACATTTTGTAACTACGTTTGGTGACGATGTTTGTTTTCGGGAGCAACTGTGTTTTTCCAGCCACCTGCACACGCAGTGAACTGTGTTAGCAGGTACTGTGTGTGGTGCTCAGGTGAGCTAGCCCGTACCTTCCTCTGGATCTCCCACACGTTGATGATGTTCTTTCCGAGCTGGGCGGACAACAAGAACTCCCCGCGAAGGACGGCGAGTGTACGGCTCGAGCTGTTCCCTCCTCGGTACGACAGCAGGCTGGAGCCACTGTGGAGGTCGAACACAGTGCAATTCCAAAGCTGAGAACCAGAGTCACTACTAACAATTACCTCCAGAGGAGCCGCCATATTGGCTCCTACACTGCACACAACACACGCGGGAAACCGGTGGTCAAATGACAGAACCGCAACGTCATGTCCTGGACCTGGTGCACTGTGGGAAATGTAGGAATGGGCTCGCCGACAAAACGCTTCACTTTCGCGATTTGTTCTTTTCTGTGAAGTTTGCTTTAAAAATTTTATTCAGTTTTAATAAAAAAAAAAAGTTTGACATCCATCTCACATTTCCCATCATCCTCTACGCTCACATCATAAATGTGTTCTCCACATTAGTTAACCAGACAGCACTCAAAGAGTGCAAACCTCCACCAAGGCACATTTAATTTTAATATAATGCAGTTACACCTGAAAGCAATATTCCTACTTTACAGTAGGTCTAGAACATGATCACATACCCTTCTGAAGATCTTAGAATAATATACAGCACTGAAAAGACAACAACATGTGTGGTACAATTAGATGTGTTGCCATGATAAACAAAATAAAATACAGTATGGTGCACAAATTAATTTTGCAAACAACATTACATGACAAAATGAGTAAACAGCAGAATTTATTAACATCAATCTGATTACAATAATAAAGCACTGAAGCTCACAGTTTTTGTGATATTTCACAGAGATTTAAACACATTTAGAAATGCTGTGCAATAAAAAACTTTAAGGTCTTGAGATTTCTATCATTTGGATAAGATCTCATTTTGGGGAGAATCTAAAATCAAATGTGGAATGATTTATAAGAGTTTATAGACTTTAACAAAACTGTTTGAATAAATAAAGTAACATGCTTAAATGTGTTCCAAGCTGTGAGTTGAGGGTTAAATGAGCATCTCAAATTTTTTGTTGAGTCGTTTAATGGGAAACTAACTCTTAAATCATCAGTTTGTATCAAACACTGTTTTTCTCCTGATGGTAGAAAAGATAGTTATTAAAACAAATTGATTTAAATGTCTGACAGATGTAAACTTCTTACAGACTGAAAATGTGGTCACTGGATTCTCCTCGTCTCTCTCTGTTTTCTTCAGTGTTTTCTCTCGCTGCCTTTGGCGTTAACTAGTCAGAGATTAGTCTTGGGAAGACGGAAGTAAAGGGGTACAAGCATATCGAGAACAGTGAGAATCCACAGTTTTCCGCAGCTGTCCCAAAGGTTTATGGGACTGTTTAGCTGACTGTATAGACACTGGTGTTTCTAATTCCCGGGACAAAGTGCGCCCACCTCTGATGTTAAAATACTCAGGGACTGTAGTACTGAGAAGTTGCATACTGGTCTGATCTCAGTTGGAAATGAGATCCTGGAGGTCAATGGGAAAAAGGTGGCCTGTCTCAGTCTGGACCAAGCGACCCATCTGCTGACTCAGAACCCCTCTGCCACTGTCTGGGTCCTTTGACAGTGAAGAACTCCTCCATGGTAACCACATCACCCCCTTAAACATTTTGTACCTGAACCAGAACTCTGCAAAGAAGCAGATGCCTTACTAAAGTATGACAAGACATCTGAGGATTCACCTGCAATCAAGGGAGGCACAGATATGGAAGTAAATCCCTGCCAAATCATTTCAGGGAGTGCAAACCATATTTTGAGTACTACTCAGTTTGTAACTCAGCATTTGAGAGCACACAGACACATATTTGTAAGTGCAGAATCAGATTTGAGGGCATATGCCCAGCCGCCCACATGCTTGTTTCTCAGTCTTCCTTCTCAGAATTCTCCACTGGGGTTTTTGTAAGTCTGTGCCACAAGTTTTGAAAGTGCACAAAAGAAGTTGTGAGTGGCCTTCAGTTTGCAAATAAAAATTTGAGAATGCATGGGCACAGATTTGTAATAGCTAAACACATTTGAGAGCAAGGAAGGCAGATGTATGAGAGTAGCAGATGATTTGAGCGAGCAAATGTGATTCTGGTCTAACAAATCAGTGGCTGCACACTCTCACATTGTGATTTACAAACTGAAGAGCACTCAAAACCTTTGGGGCCAACAGCCTTTCACACAAACCCCAGTACAGGATGAGTTCAGTGCTGTACTGGTTTCCTGTGGAAACCAAACTACAACGTCTCAGTTTTCTACACTGTACATTTTGTAACATTATTAAATGCTTGTAGCAATCTTTTGCTTTGACTGATTTTCCTTCATCCTGCTACTAAAACAAAGTGAACAACCCAACAATAAAAAGCAGAAGTTGTTTCATAGTGTAGTGAAAGACAGAAGCAGTTCATCCCCCTGATGTTGTTTACATGCAGTTAATGAGTTGATTTCTTTACTTTCTGTATCCTGATTGAGCTGCTGTTGGTTTTTCAACTAGTTTACAAAAACAGGTCCAAACTTAAAAATATACACTGACACATTCATAGCAAGGTGTTTCTCAATTATTATTATTACCAGTTCATTCAGAATTATCAGACATTGAATTGTTAACTACTAAAGTTTGTCTGTGGTTAATCAAATAAACTAATAAAATGTTTGAAAGTAAAAAAAAGAACTTTATTAATAATAATACATTTTATTTAGGCTGCACTTTTCATGATACTCACAAATGCTTAAACTCTACCTCAAGTGTACATGAGGTTTTGGATACATCACAGCTCTGTGATGTTATTACTGTTCACAGGGCTCAGAAGACAAAACTACACTGAGCTGAGCAGTTTTCAGTATTTCTCATTCTCCTCAGCTTTTTACCTTCAAGTCTCAAGTTGGTGAGAAGAGTCATGACACTTCCAGAAAAAGAAGTAGCATTTCTAGAGACAAGTTGTAATGTTTTGGGGTTAAATTTTAACCTGCTCTGGTTTTATGATTGTTCTGTTTCAAACACTGAAACATCTGACAGGTCATTTTGATACTAACGATTTTATACTCGTGCTTTTAAATGGTTGTTTCTGCTGTTTATCGAAACAAATCTTAGTGAGGGTCAATCATCTGTTTAAAGTAAGCTCAGAAATCAGAAATAATTGAGACATTTACACGGTTTGTGTGCAAGCAGCTGTTGATGTGCACTGGTTTTACTGGAGGGTTAAATACATGGATGAGTTCCAGGCTTCAGAACTACTAATGAGGTTGCAGTCATCCAGCAGAGAGGCACGAAGAAGAAAACAATCCTCCAAAGCCCTGAAAACCCCTGTCCATCAGTTTGGGTCAATTTTGCACATCAGGCTCTGCCTCCTTCACAACATGAGGCAGTGGTCTGTCTGCCCACGGGGCAGTACAGATCACCTGATACCTGTGCATTCAGGGGGGGGGTTAATGACTGATCCAGGATCAATAACTCTGCAGTCAAATGACTGGTTCCATTTGGACCAGATTGGATCAGTTTTACCTGAAGACCCGGTCAGTTCTGAAGCAGTATTAACAAAGCCTGACGTTGATATGAGACGAAGTTTACCTGGGGACAAAGGGATGAACGAGGACCAACACTGTTTGTGACACGTCAGGCAAGAAAAACTCAGATTACAGAATATGCTGAGATTGTTATTAAAACAAATGCTTGAATTCTGTCAAATATCATCATTTCATAAAATGAAACAAAATGCAAAGTGTTTAACTTGTTCCTAATCAGCTGAATGTATTGTGGTGGGCAGCACCCGAACACACCCGCAGACCTCAAGAAAACAAGAAGAGCCTGCCTTCAGAAGCCCAACACTGTGACCAGAGACTCAGCGTTCTGGGGACTCAGCAATGTCTTCTCAGGACTCATCCATCTCATCTAATTCTGAGGAATTAGCTTCTGTGACACCTTCTCAGGATTCAGCTGCCACATTGAATTCTGGGGACTAAGCCACCTCAACGCTTTTTGGAGACACAGCAGCCGTGAGGTGCACTATCAGGAGACGGGGCCTGATGTGCAACAGAGCCAGTGTCATACTGCAGAACCAATCAGCTCACTCTGCTGCAGATGTCTCTTAAGTGTCCACAGATGGTCTGAGGATTATTGATAAGGCATCCACTCTGACAGGAAGTCTTGGTTCACAGAGTCAATCAGTCTGACCACTGCAATGCTCCAAAAACAAATCACCTGTTCTCAAGGAGTCTTAACAAATGCATATGAAAATGAAAAAATTAATAGGCTTGTGCTTCAATCTGTCAGAAACAGGGCTGATCAATGTAGATTCAATGATCACTAAGTGATTGACAGGCTCAGTAAGCTTCCCCCCCCTTTCCTGAAGAATCACACAAGCTCATTATCTTGTGGACTGATTCTCAATGTGTTTCCACCATATCCAGTGTTTAATGACCTTCATCTGATTTTAAAGATAGACAGAAGAAGATAGTTATTTCAAAATATTAAAGGGGAATATATTAGAGCTGCAACTGATTATTTTCATTATGAATTAATTGATCATGTAATCATATATAATTAAGCAGAAAATAGTAAAAGCCCTATCATAAATCATTTTGTCCAAAACAAAGGACCTCATACCATCACATTTGGTAATATTGCTTGAAAAATGGCATTAATTTGCTATTGATCAACTAATCAGTGCAGCTGTACTACATTTATTATTATTTGCTGCTCTTAACTCCTCCCCTCAACTCTGTTGTTGTGTCTTGTTGCTTTTCTTTTCTCTCCCTCTCCTCTATCCACTCACCCCAACCGGTCGAGGCAGAAGGCCGCCCACCAAGAGCTGGGGTCTGTCAGAGGTTTCTTCTATTAAAGGGAGTTTTTCCTCCCCACTGTCGCCAAGTGCTAGACCTGAAATAAAAGTCAGTGGAACTGAAGTTATTAAATGTTAAGTTATTAAGTGTTACTCGGTCTTTTACTGCTTCCTGTCTTTCGGTCAGTGGCTCTAAGCTCCAAGCTGATTGGAGCCCACCGGTTCCTAATGAAATCTTTAAATTTTCCTCACAAATATCTATATATTTTCATTTTAAAAACCACTCTAATTTCCTGAAACAGCTGCTCACTGTAATTTTTTATTTGAAAAACAGGAAGAAACTGCATTTTTTGGGGACTATTTTCAGTGGCGGATGATTACACATTTGGTGTCCAGTGAGAATTAGTGGTAGCTAGGGGTCTAACGATCCATTGAGCTGCATCGATCAACCTCCCCGTGAGCTGATGACATTGATGCAAAACGTAAACATCGATG